ACTCCTCATACTCTGCTTCAAACATGCATGCCCGAATTTTGTTCACGTACTTCCCCTTGATCGCTGTGATGCATGCATTGCCTTGAAAAAACATCTTGTATCTGTCAAAATGAGCCTTGTTCTCTGTCCACCATCCATCCATATCTTCCTCATTCTCAAGGCCAGTGACTACAATGACAATTGGGACCTGCTTCTGACAGAATACTTCAAAGAACATTTCGTAGTTCTTTTGGGCAGTGCTTGTGATACGCGGCGCTCGCATAACATATACGAGAAGGTTGACTCCACTGTCTAGTTTGGATATGAGTTGATAGAGAGCTGCGACGGCATCGCTTGCAGGGACTCTGCCTGCAGGACCCTCATTGAGGCCGACAGTGTCGAAGACTTGAAACGACATGCCCTGGATAGACTTTTGGTAGCATTTGTTGCTGAATGTGACCCCAGAAGCACCACTGCCCACTTCAGCATCCTGATCACCATCAAGCATATTGATAATAGAGCTCTTCCCTGCTCCGGTCTCTCCAAAAACAATCACGTTATGTGTGAGTATAGACATGTCTATGGTAAGAGTTAGTTATATCTAGTGGATAGAAGGATTTACCCACTGGTTCACAGATGTTTAGCTTGTGTTGAATGCTGCTTTCGAGGACACAGACATCCTTAAATAATGGGAGGGTGCCCAATTCACGGAACACCGACATTGTAAACTAAATGTCCAGCACTGGCGTCAGGTTCAAAAGGTACATAAAATAAGAGATGCCAATCGACAGCAGGTGAAATGCGGCCATATTTCATTAAGGAGAACATTTGTCATCTTAAATCTAATCCATGACCAACAAGTTGTCAACGGCATAGCTAATTCTTTAATTCCACCAGATTGTGCAAGTGTGTCCATATATCCAACTCAATTGAGTGGTCCAAATCAGCAACAGTCGCTGTTTTGTCTATTCAGCGCCGCAGCAATTTAATCCAAAATTGACTCTAGCGGAAGACCAAGTGTGGTATTTATTGGGATTAATGTGCTTCCATAATGTGCATAGCATATCAGGCACCTGCCAGATGCCAAGAGAGATTGACTGAAGGTACCTGAATTGCCAAATCTGATCTTTACTCAATTGTTATCTTGTCCCAGAATTGTCTATTGTTCATCTTTGTAGAGTATTTGTAGGTTATCTTGACACAAATTGACGTGAATTTTCTCTTTAAACCTTCGCTACACAAGACACCACTAGCTCCTCATCTTCCTTCATCTCCCCTGAAGTACAAGAAAATCGCGGGATACTCAATGTTATTGTGAGAAGTTCTGTGCGTTGAATATACCCTAAAATCTAGTGTAACTTTTCTGAATGCAGTGACCTACCAATGACCTGCCTGTCTGCTACTGTCCGTCGCCACCAGTCAGATGCACACTTAATTCACGCACTATGTCCATGTGTTTGCTCCTTAAATAATCACCTCTGATCAAAGCTCACTGGGTTAATTATCGATATGAAGGAGAAGCAAATCACTCTTGATTGATTGCTAGGATGCCAGTGGGAAAAAAAGGGCCATTAAGATAAGGCCTTTGCTGGAAATCACCTTCAGATGTTGGGCTTGATTGATAGCTAATTTTATGAATAAAATTATTGCATTGCAGTGTTAGGTAACATATCTTGAAGTTTTCCTTATTATTATAAAAGTCGTTCTTAACAAACAGCCTGGTAACATTATGGAGAGAAGTTGCCTTATTGAGTTCATACCATCTGATTAAATTATTGGCATTCAATCTTTTTCGATGTGACAGAGCATCATTGAATCCATTTGTCTGAGAAAAGCATGTCAGTCAGTCCAGTAGACACACATTCCACTCGTTTATGATGAGCAAAGAAGGGAGACTCGTCCTTACTTACTCAACTCTGGGTCATCTAGCTTCTAGCTTTCTCACGTGCAGCGATGGCCCACTTCTTTATAGTATAGTAGACTGCATGCATCTACCAACTAAAGAGCGAAAAAGCATACTTTGGTGTTTGTCATTAAACTATTCCCTACCAACTTGAAGTATATGCTAAAAACCAGTCTAAGTAAGTACGAGTCTACAAGTATTGATAGACCCGTTTTAGTCGCAATACGCATAATGCAAAAGATGAGCGAAATGTCGGCCTCTTGTCCCTGGGGAGAGGAGATCCGAGCTCCCGGCTTGGACTGGGATACGACACCAATTGTTACGCTCGTTTGCAGTTTCTCCCTTTTGAGTAGGCCCAACGCGCTCCGGGGCAGGCGTCCCCGGGGCCGAGATATATAATACAACGTGCATGGAGACGAATGGCTATGGAGCCTAAGGAAGTTGTGAGATTTTTGATGTGGACGTAGAATGCGCGTTATCAACTAATGTACGGGGGGGGGAGGGAGGGTAGCGAAAGGAACTATTGGTACAAACGCAAGATGAGCAAGAATTCAGACATAAAATACAGTTGGAACGTACCTGGGTACAGCGCACGATGAGCGAGAAGTGAAGACTAAACTCGCACATGACCGCTGTACCCTGGCGGAGATTGCCGAGAAAATGCCGAGAACGGTTTGCATACATTTGAAACGTATATCAAGAAGGAAGGATGCAACGGCGGTGCAGCGCTTCAAACGATAGTACGAAAAGTTGTAAAGACATGCGGCGCGGCGCAGGCTGTCTTGACGCAAAGCATTGTGACCCTTGTATACAACTTGCGAATGCGGTTGATAGTATGGCGTGCGGCGCGGCGCAGGCTGTCTTGACACGAAGTGTTGTGACCCTTGCCTACTATCAACCACACCGGTGGTAGAAATTTTGTAACTTGCGACTATTAATCTAGATAAATTAAAATTTATCATTTATCATTGACGGATGATTTGCGCCACAACGTGATGATTTAACCACTAATCGATAGGGACATGCGATTAATTTTACACAAGAGTCACGTAAGAAGCTGTCAGAGGTCACCTTTTCCAAGTAAAACCGCCAATAATAGAGACGGAGTTAACCACTGACACTGATTTATGGAACGACATTATCAGGCAGCTTAGACGTGTGTGCTCTGAAGTCTTTTTATTTTGGAGTCTGCAAAGAACCTCCAGGGATGGCATCGCGTCTGACTACGAATCAGGAGATTGCAGGTTCGACCCCTGCGGTGGTCATTTAGTAAATAGGTCTTTGTTATATTTTGTGGGATATAAAGAAGGATTTAACAAGAGAAGTTTTCTTTGTGACCATGATGAATTAAGCATCCCAAACTTTGTTGTTGACGTTGTGTTGACGTACACCATTACTGTTTTCTTGATATGTGTGTTACACAAAAATTTTGGGGTACTTTAAAGTGCCCTAAATGGCCCATGTCTCCAGAATGGCTCGTCAGAAAAATCTCAAAATATTATTCTCAATGAGATCTGTTGATTCCGCATACCATCAGCACCCTGGAAAATGGTCAGCTAAAACTGATGTCTTTGATTGTCCTTACTTACAGTTGCGGACAAGTCCTCTTAAAGTTGGCCTTGTAAGAGTAGTCCGACTAGGTACATAAGAGGCTGGCAAATATCTGGATAGTTGAGATGCCGGTTTTGGAATCAGATCTGATTGCAGACTCAACTCATTAGGAGCTCTTGGGAGAGTCCGTTTTGGATCGATGCTCGCTAATTTCCGATTATTTAAACCCTTCCCCAAGTTTCACCGAGTCACCACGCTGGTTATTCCAGACCACCACCTGCAGCGTTATCGATCATGACAGACTCCAAAACCAAGACATCAGCTCGTTGTAAGCATTGCACTCATCACTGCATTTTATCCATCTCTAAAAAATTCCTTAACTAGTCAACGCAAACTCTGACGGTGACATCGTCTTCTCCTCCAGTGACGAGGTCCTCTTCTACGTTCACAAAAAGAACTTGGAATTCTGCTCTGGCGGATTCCCACCTGCTGATACTCCAACCCTTGACGACGAATCGATTCCCTTGACTGAGAAAGCATCCACTTTGGAGCTTCTTTTCGCATTCGTCTATCCGCAACGGTACCCAGGGCTAAACGACATGACATTCGAAGAACTGGTTGATCTCGCGGAAGCAGCTGAGAAATATGAGGTATATTTCGCAATGAGTTTGTGTTCACTGAAAATGAAGTACGTTTCCTTGTTGTCAATCCAAGTTTGTTTATGGATTTGCTTTCGGGAAATAACACAGGGAGTATGTGTCCAGTAATGCACCAGAAATATTCGGATTCGCAGCAAGACACGATTATCCTTTTCTCATTTCTATAGTAGCACCACGTCTTATTAGCAGGCCGCTCACTGATGTGGTCAACGTGATACCTGCGTATATGTATATTCCCTGGGTAAATAACTCGGATTTTATCTCATAAAGCATGGTTTGGACGAAGCATTGTTTTTACAGACTCTATTCAAAGAACGATGGCAGCAATGTCTTGATGTTGTTTGCTCGATACCGCAAAGGGATACGAGTCACGTCCATTCAAATGATTGGTATCTTAATGCATACAAGGTCCAAATCGCTCTTAGCGACATTTCAAGATTGGCGGACCTTGACACTGTTTTCGAAGAGGCTGGTATCGACTTTGAAAGGAAGTATTGTGATCCACATTATGGTTATTGTTCCCTCTATAATTTTAAAGAGTGGAGGGACAAGGCAGTGGTAGAGGTGGCGAAGATACCAGACTTTGTGACCTTTCTAAAGACCTATGCTCCATCTGAAATCCAAGGGAAGTAGGGTTGTTTGGCAGGATGCCTTTATACAGTACGTGATATGTATTTCCAATTCAAGTATCACTTTCATTTGTGCACCAACATTGACTTGTTGCCTCGCGGTGTTATTATTTGAGTGGGTTGGATCTATATTCGTGATCACGATTTGTGTCAATGGTGTGTATCGACGAGTGTAACAGCGAAAAAGAATAATTGTAGCTTGGTGTTTGCCTACCAACTTGAAGTGTATGTACTCGTATGAATGCGCATAGTGCAAAAAGCAAACATAAACAAGGTGATTGTCCCTGGGGAGATTCGAGCTCCCGGCTTCACGGTCTGAAAAGCCATAAACAAGCCACCACAACGTGATGATTCAACCACTAATCGACAGGGACGTGTGAACTTCGAGTATCAAGCACCTTTGGGTGTCTACTTTTTATTCGGGGTCTGCAGAGAAGCTCTGGAGTTATGGCCGCCTGGCGAAATGGCATCGCGTCTGACTACGAATCAGGAGATTGCAGGTTCGACCCCTGCGGTGTTCAGTCTTCTTGCAAAACGTCTGCATCATATTTTGTGGATAGGAACAAGGATTTAGCAGGCAAGAGAGGTTTTCTTTCCATTTTTAGTAAACTTGAAGATTTAGCGTCTAAAACTGCATATATACTTGGTGTAGATGTATATTGTTACTGTTTTCTTGATATGTGGATACCTGAAAGACCGGACTCGGAGGCTAGGCGGCCTCAGGAATCTCAAGCCGAGATTTACAAGGACAGGAAATCAGTGTAAAAATATGGCAAAAAAAGTGACCATATATGAATGCAGGATGTCCCTGGGGAGATTCGAGCTCCCGGCTTCACGGTCTAGCGATTCCGAAGTGCGTCGAGCTACCACAACGTGATGATTTAACCACTAATCGACAGGGACGTGTGAACTTCAAGTATCAAGCACCCTGAAGCCATTTTGGGTGTCTACTTTTTATTCGAGGTCTGCAAAGAACCCTTAGAGTCATGGCCGCCTGGCGAAATGGCATCGCGTCTGACTACGAATCAGGAGATTGCAGGTTCGACCCCTGCGGTGGTCAAATGTTTTTATTGTGCCCCCTGATTATGTAAGAGTTTAGTGCGTGGCAGCACAGCCATCAGTCATCATCACCTCCTCTGTTTGTTTTTTTAATGATGGAAGGGCATGCTGGCCTTTCCCGACGGCGGACCATGTCATCATCGTCCCTGTCATCGTCCTCGTCGCCCTCCTCGTCTGCCGTGACCATCCCCATTCCCGGCAAATCCATCCTCAAGAAACCTCCTCCTCCCCAGCAGGGTCTCTTTTCACGCATCACCCGCTTCCTTCCCAACCAGAACCAGAACCTACCCAGCGAAGAAAAGGCTTTGAAACGCGCACATTTCATTCTTCCTTCTATCGCTGTCGTCTACCCCATCTCCAACATCAACCCACCTTCTACTCCAACTCTCAAGGACGAAAAACGGGCGATTGAAGAACGAGAACACGAGCGTCGCAAACGAGTCGTCAGGAACGCCGCTGATCCAAATGCTCTCTGGACATTGGACAAGGTCGAGTCATTCTACCAGGAATGCTGCGCTGGCTGCGACGAGCGTCCCGACCCCGCCATTTCCGCTGCCTTCAAGTCTGCCCGTCCAGTAGATCCTATAACGGTGGATTTCTCGGGTGTTCAGCTTACACCCGTTTCTGCAGGGATTCTAGCCGATGTGTTTACGATAGAATGGGGACTGAGAAAGGTCGTGTTTAAAGAATGTGATTTGGACGAGTATACGCTCAAACCCATCCTTCATTCCCTGCTCATTCCCGACTCTATACACTTTATCTCCCTCGCGTCAAACAAGAAACTCAAACTCCCTTCCTTCCGCCTCATCTCTGCATTCGTGCAAAAATCATCCTCCATCCAATTCCTCGACCTCTCCCAGATCCCTCTCGACAAGAAAGCCATCGAAGTCCTAGTAGCCGCCCTAACCCCCGCTGGACACCCGGGCCTCGCAAGTCTCCGACTAGACGATTGTGCGTTGAAACCGGGGGCATTGGAAGTATTAGCTAAAGTGGTTAGAACGAGTTCGTTGAAGAATATCAGTTTGAGGTACAACAAGATCAATCACGCCGGCGCGATTGCGTTGAGTGTGATGATTAGGGATTATCCTGATGCTGTGCCTGGACCTGCTGTGGGGTTGATTTCTTCTTCTGGAGGCTCGACGCCGACGCTGGTTCCGTCGTCGCCGAGAGGTGGTGCGGGCAGTCCGACGTCGTCGAGTTTGTCGACGAGTCCGGCGTCTAGTGTGGTTAATTTGCCTGCGACGAGTACCACTCAACCTCCACCGCCTCCGCCGCCGAGACATCCGGCTACGCAATCACATCCTCCTCCGGCTTCTGCTGCGATGGCGACGACGTACACGCCGTATGTCCCTCGTTCACGTAGAGCAGCTACCGGGCCTAGTATCATGACTGGCTCTTCTCACTCTGCCCCCGTTCACGGCTCACAACAGAACTCGGTACCAATAATAAAAACGAGTTCTCAAGGTGGAGTAACTACTGTTACTTCTCCTCCACACCATCCTCCTCCAGTCAATGGACGTTTCGGCTCTGCGAACAACGGACTAAGCAGCTTTCAAAAGAAGCTCAACGCGAGTCTGAGTGGGATGGGGATTACACTTAATTCCACCTCTCCTACTTCTTCCACCTCTACGTCTTCTTCGTTATCGGCAACGCCGGTGTCTTCGCCTATAACTACACATCATCCACATAGTTCGTTACATACAGCGTCTCATTCACATCCTCCTCCTCCGTATACACCGAAAGCGCAGAAGATACAGTCGCAGGTACAACAACAACCTCCATTACCTTCGTCTTCGTTGGCGTTGTTGGATAAAGTCCGTGCATTGGATTCCTTACCTCGCTTAGGTGAGTAATCTTCCTTTTTCCTCCTTCTCTTCAAACATTAAATTCTAAACTATCGTTCCTAGGCTCCCTCCGAACACTCGACCTCCGCGGCAACGACCTCCGCCACATCGGAGTCGGCTACATCGGTCAAGTTCTCAAACGGAACCGAACTCTCAAAGTCCTCAACCTAAGCGAGAATAAAATCGATCCACAGGGATTGGTGGTTATTGCGGAAGGGTTAAAGTATAATGGGTGTTTGGAGACGTTGGATTTGAGTAGGAATCCGTTGGGTGGGGGGAGTGGGATAACGAATCAGGTGGGGCAGGGAGGAGGGCAGGGAGGGCAGGTTAATGGGGTTGTAGGAGGGGTAGGGAGAGATAAGGATCTGGAAGGTGTGAGTATTTGTATTCGCTTTTTTTAATTCTTTTTGTTTGTTCATCTCTGACGATTTATCCTTCTTTCCAATACCCACAAACAGATCCACGCCCTCCGAACATCATTCACCCTAAACACATCCCTCAAACGCCTCTTTCTATCCTCATGCAACCTCACCTCTGCATCAGCTATATGTCTCGCTGAATTCCTACCTGAAAGTCGGAGCCTACTCCATTTGGATTTGACTGGGAATAGTTTGGGCGTGGCGGGGGTTATGGCGTTGGCGCAGGGGTTGAAGAAGAATGGGGTTGTGAGGTGTTTGGATTTGGAGGTGCCGCCGGGGGATGAGGGGTATGCGAGGTGAGTAGAGTGTTTTTATTATCTTTTTGAAGAGTGGTTTCTTTTGTTTTTCGTTTCGTTTTGGGTTATTCTTCCAAGTCGGTATCAGGGACGCACTGGAGAGGGTAGACACATGCACATGTCGATGTCTTGACATGTTCATTGTTTGCGTTGTGGCGTTTGGCGTTTTGGCTTTTTGGTGGTTTCGTCATATGCTGGAGAAGTGTTTTGCTGCTTTTGGCAAGTTTTGGAGAGCGACGCGAGTGGGACTAGATGGTTTGGACCGGGCTGCTTGCTGCTTGTCAGTCGCCATCGGTTTTGAAACGCTGTTGGCGCGCTACTCTGGGTACGGTCTGCGCCAAGTAGAGTTACTGCGTTTCAAAATGATCTCGTCGTGTGCTGGCTGTCTTTTCGTTTCTTTCTTATCTTTGTGCTTACCTTGTTATTAATCACTTCTTTCTTAAATACAGACTTTGCCGCGAGATTCTCAATACATGTATACGCAACACTGAAGAAGCCGAACGAGTTGCTCAAGAAGCAGAAGAAGCGAGGGCTGCTGAAGCTGAAACGGCCGATGGAGATGAAGACACCGTAGTGTCCACGACTACATCAACGACGACTTCAACACCTGCAACTGGAAACGGGACACCTGTTTCTGGGGTATTTCCTTCTTCTATTTCTGGGTCTGTATCTGGTGCGGCGGCTACTTCGGGGACCACAGTTCCGGCTCTATCGACCAAGTCGTCTTTGTCGTCTATATCTACCACAGCTTCTCAAGCGTCTAAATCCACTGCTACTTCTTCCACTACATCTGGCGCTAGTAACCCCCAGACGACGCCGGCAAAGAAACAGAAAAGCAAAGCTCTTTGGGGTATGATCGAAGATTCCGAACTGGCGAAAGCGATCGGGTTGCAGGATGCGTTGGCAGACGCTATGAGGAGTCAGAGTCAGAGTCCGTCTTCGAATGTCACACCAGGTGCTGGTTTGGGCGATATGCTGGGATTAGGAGAAAAGGATAAAGACGTTGTAGTACGAGCGAGGAGAGGGATAAGGCTGATGAAGGAAGTTGTGGAAAAGGGTGGATTCCGGGGTGTTTTACCCTCTGAATCGACGACACCTGTGCCGGAGGAAGAGACGAGTACAGGAGAGACGAGTTTGTTCTCGCCTTCGCCGTTTTCACCTGGTCCTGGGACAACACCAGCTTCTTCGTTGTCATGGACATATACTCCTTCTCGAGCGCCTACGCCTTTACCTTCAACACCGGAAGAGTTGATCAAGAGTATTAAAGGTGTCGTGGAAGAGATGACAGGGGTGATTGAGAGGGTTGTTGAAGGTGTTGCTGCTGCTGCGAGTGAAGTAGGGCAAGGTGTTAGAGTGGAAGAGTTGTTGGATATTAATGATGAGATGATGAGTTTGTTGGGTAAAGTAGAAGGGTTGTTGGTGCTGGAAAATGAGAGGAAAGAGAAGGAAGCAAAGGAGCTGGCCGAGGTGAAAGAGAAGGACGCTTCTCCGACACCGACTTCGGAATTGGAGTCTGAATCGGGTCAGAAGGAAAAACCTCGACCGTCTCTGAAGCTCCAAGGACTCGGTATACGACTAGACCCGGTTAGCGAGAGTGGCGAAAAGTCAGAGGAGGAAAAGGAGAAGGAAGATAAAGTCCGACAAGTCATGGTTAATGGATACCTTTCTCCTCATGTCGCAATTGCTTCCTCGTCGTCGTCATCGTCATCATCCTCTCCAATGTCTTCTGCGTATGGCACGCCTTCACACGACGCGGACAACTCGGAGGACGAGTTCCCGTTACCTAGAGTAGATAAAGGTAAAGGCCGTGCGCCGCCTGAGCCCGTACAACATGAACCGGTGCTTAGTCCGACTTCGGTGCTCATGATGAGCGCAGTACAACAAGAGCCAGACGAGGAAGACGAACATGATGAGGACCCTAGGTTTCCTAGGTATTGGGATGATGAAGGTGGAGGAGAAGCAGAGGATGATAATGAAGAGGAGGTGGAGAACGAGCAAACTGAGAGGTCCAAAATTTGGGTACAGGAGGAAGGAGAGGTGTTTAGAAAGGGGAACATTTTGTTGGGGCCAGAGGAGATGGAGGGAGAGTATGCCGGTGAGGAGTTGCGACGAGAGGTGAGTTTTCCTGTTGTTCATGTTAACATACTAACCAATCGATTACAGCTCCTCGAAGCCATGGTCGAACGCCCAGCACCCCGCGCTCTTACTGATGAATTTGGCAATGACATTCTCACCGCAGAACCAATTCCAGATATCTTTGCTTCTTCACCTTCTGCTGAACCTCT